TTTTTTTTTTTTAACACAAAACACTGATGTACTAATTAAAAAAAGAACATGATGATTATCAAATAATGCATTACTTATACACATTGTTACGTCGCAGTTCTCAATTATCAAGTATTTCACCAAAAGTGAACATTCTATGTTCCAATTCTATGGCTTCAAATTCGACAGCACACTGAAAATATTAATGATTTCAAAACCAGCAAGCTGTTGACTAGCTCCACGGGGCCCCACATGATTCTTGATTGGTTTAGCAAACTATTACACAATTATAAGACATGTTGATTCACTAATAAAATAAACAATCTAGGTGCCCCGTTATCTACATAATTTGCCTAAAGAAATCGAGGAGATATAGTAGTGGATAAGAGAACATTCTTTTCTTCCGGAGTATGATCATGGCCTATACATAAACTAAACAAGTTTGCCACAAAGCCAAATTAAGTACATCATAATTAACCACGCAACCACCACTCGTGAGTTCTAGGCTATGACTATCTAAACAGGATTTGGATGAGATATCCTTCAATATATATTTTTTTTTGGGGGGGGGGGTGGTTAGGGTCTTAGACATTCTTCAATTCTCTAATTGATTGATTGGCTTCCAAATCATGAATTTATGAATCAAAGTGGCACGGGCACAGTTGCATTTGGTCTCAACCTTCAATCAAACCATGATTCTGATTCCCTACATGCAAAACCTCAAAAAGATCAAGCTATTTTTTGCCAAATCTTAAGCATTTGTTGTGTCTGGATTCAGTAATACTAGGATTTTGAGTGAGTTGTTTGTTTGTCTGTCTTGTGATTGTGAGTTTTTCCATTGCATTAATGAACTTGCGCAAGTACTTGATGAACTCAGGGAATGTTTCAAGGTTGCAATGGCCACCTCCCTTAACCCACAAGGGATCATATTTTTCCTTGGAGAGTTCCCACAACCTCTTTCCATGAGACCAATCAACAATATCATCATTTGTTCCCTGCAAACAAAATTATAAACTGTATTAATTCATAAAAAATGCCACATATTACAAGACAGATATCCATGCCTACTAAGCTGTTTTGTATGGATTAGGACATCTGAAGAACTGAAATCATAACAATGACATACGGCAGCATTTTGTAACATAGAAATTGCAGAAAATCATCATGAGTTCTAGACGATATCTAATTTTCTTCCTCAAAATTGGCTCCATTTACAACGATGGCTACTATGCTATATGTTGCTTAGCCTTATTCAATATGGATGAGGCCACAGGTTAACAACAACCATAATAAATGCAGACATACTGATGCTCTGAAAATCACGAAAATAGTTATTCTGTTAATTTGTTGGCTTGAAATACGGTTTGAAATAGTTATTCTGTTAATTTGTTGTTCCTTTCTTTATGTGGCTCGAAATCCTGAGACAAA